AAATTATGGGGTGGTCTGACATTTTCTGAGTGATTGATTTTTATTTTAGGACTGTTGCATGCTGAGCTCTTGGTCTGAAAATGACAACTTTCTGTTTAGGCACCACAAGTTTGAAGTGTAGATCAAATAAATGACCTTGTCCTTTTTTACCCCTCCTCCACAGGACTTCATAAGGCAATGACAGAACCTCTGAAATCTTTGTATTTTATGTCTTCCTTCTCAGAGCTGTTTGACTTAATTCAAATTTAAACCAAATGAAACGTATCTTTGTACTTGCAGGCTACTGCTATAATATGCATTGCAATAACTGAAAAACCCAGATGCCATTCAGAAACCCAAACAAATCTGGGCCTTCTCCTAAATTTAGCAAATATCTGTCACTATTAAAAACCATAATGACAAAACGTCTTATCTCCTCGTATTGTAATTTGATTCTTACCATCTTCAGCCATCAGGGTCACCAGGGCAAAGGCTTGTTCAGTGTGGTAAAGCACATTGGCATTTGTCCAGAAGTCTGTCCGGAAAGAAAGTGTGAAACCTTGTATTTCCTAATCTATTTAAACCTTAAGCAACTTTCTTATGAAGAACTGGATGTCAACAGAGTGTATTAATCTAGCAGCCTCACTTTAAATTAATGCACAAATCACAGCATTTAATGCAGTGCTAGCAGCAGAGATGGGCAGCATCTTATTATGTGTAATGATAAAGCATTTAATAATCATCATTTTACTGAAATCTTCCTTTGCATAAGGCATTGCTTGGCAGCCGTTTTTCATTCTCAGACTGTTCACAGTGTGACACTTTAAATGGAAAAAGAAATATCACCTGGGGTACTTATTAGCTTAACAAGCACTTGCCTGGGAGCCTGGGAAGATTCACTGTGTTTCACTCCCTCCTGATGGTTTAACTCCAGAGCTTAATACCATTCTTTTACTCAAGGGCCTGGAGTAGTCTGCCACTAGGGGATGCTCTTGCTTCTTCACTCCAACTCCAGGCCGGTTCAATTCTGGCCTTACCCGCCTCAATACAAGACAGGAAAAAGGAGGCTTTTACTCTTCCCCAGTGAGTCTGTTCCTCTGAAACCCCCAGAGTCAGCTAAATCGGTTAGAACAATTCAGAACAAAATGAAATGACTAGTAAATGAAATAGCTTTGTTAAAATGTTTTCAAATATCTCCCTGTGGTGGACCAGAATTGCTTCCTGGTATCGGTGGCCTAATAGTTTCATTAGGGTTTGGGGATGTTAAGAGCGTTTGAGTGCTACCAAAGGAGGCGAGGGCAAATGGGGAGGAGCTGTGTCACAGGAGATGAGGAGAGGGCTGTGCCCTTCCTGGCCCTTCCCCAGTCTGGCAGAAATCTGCTTTACCCCTCTACTGATTTAGCTTTGGCTCAGACACCATTTGCCAAAGCATGCCTGTATACCAGTTTTGGGGGTTGTTAGAAATAAAAGTCCTGACGGGCGGGGCGGGGGGGGGTGGGTCACGTGAACTTGAGGAATTGTGGATTGAAAAAGTCAAAAATGTTTTACTTGTTACAGAACTTTCAGAACATTTAATTTAAATGCATTGTGCTTTGCAAATCTCAGTCTGGGCATTTTGCTGGGAGTCGTTGACTGGGCTCTCCATCTTGAAATTCTCCAGAATTGGCTTGATGTTGCATTGTTTTGGTTTTTCTCCTTCTTCTGTAACCTCTCCTTTTTGGCATTTTTCTTTTTGCTCCATGAATAGGGGCATTTCTTGTGGTTTGATGGTTCATTATGTTCAGTCTCTGGAAGAGTCACTGAAGTCCATGATTTTAGTTCTGCACCTCTCTGCTAGCGGCTCCACCCATGTCCCCCTGCAAGAGACATAGGTGAAGCCTGTCTCTTCCCAAAGAGACCTACATTTTCAGTTATATGTTAGATGCTTTCCCAAAGTAAAAATGTCCCCTTTCCAAAACGATGTCTTCCTTTTTGACTTTCTATTTCCTTCCTCCTTTAAATTTTTCTTAAAATTCTTTCAATTCTCTGAGTCAATCAGACTTAAAACCACATTTAACCACTAAACCTTGTGAATTATTCTGGCTCTTTTGTCTATCCCCCCTCATCTTTTTTTTTGTTTGTTTTGAGATAGAGTCTTGCTCTATTGCCCAGGCTGGAGTGCAGTGGCACCATGTTGGCTCACTGCAACCTCTCCTTCCCGGGTTCAAGTGATTCTCCTTCTTCAGCCTCCCAAGTAGCTGGAATTTCAGGTGCCTGTCACCACATCTGGCTAATTTTTGTATTTTTAGTAGAGACAAGGTTTCACCATGTTGGCTAGGCTGTTCTTGAACTCCTGACCTCAGGCGATCAGCCCACGTCAGCCTCCCAAAGTGCTGGGATTACAGGTGTGAGCCACAAAGCCTGGCCCCTTCTTTTTTTGTTGTTTCTGATTTTGTTTTTGAGACAATGCCTTGATCTGTCACCCAGGCTGGAGTGCAATGATGTGATCACAGCTCACTGCAGCTTCAACCTTCTGGGCTACGGTGATCCTTCCAACTCAGCTTTGAGTAGCTGGGACTACAGGCATATGCCATCACGGCCAGCTAACTTTGTATTTTTTGTACAGACAGCTGTGTCTATCCCTTCTTAAATGAGGCCTTGATCCCCTTGTATAAACTCTGAAATAAATTCCAAGTCATGCTTCCTGCTTCCCTTCCTTCGCTATTCTATGTAGGCTGCACACAGCTACTGTTTCAATCAATCTAAAACACTGCTTTGATTCTTTCTTAAAAACTTCCAGTGGGTGAGTTCTCAGTGACTCATTGTGTGAATAAAGTCCATACAACTTATGCCAGCAGTCAAACTTCCCACAGTATTCCTCCCACCTGCGTTTAGAGCCTTTGTGCTACTGGTTCCTCCATTAACATTGCAGACAGAAGAAATGCTCTTGTGACATTACAGATGTGAAGGTAGGAGTGTGCAAAGCATTTGGGGAAAGGAAATTTCTGTAAACCTTCCAGAATGGAGTACTCTATGAGATACCTGAGCTGAACAATTCAAGTTCTAAATTACTATAGATACATCTAAATCATCCTCTAGATTAAGGATATTCTGTAAATAGGCTAATATGGTCCTTTATAGCGTATAAGGAATAAAAACAAGGAAGGATATAGCTTAAGGCTTCTACTTGTCAAAGCTGATACCTTATCAATACATTTTAGAAAATATTGGTCAAATTCAGAATGAACAAATTAATACATGCATGCATATGTAAATACAAACCAACTGTAGCAGACGCTGCTGGTATTCATTCCTTCATCTCTCACCTCTACATGATAAAGGTAAACACCTGCAAATATTGCAAATGCCTACAATTCCCTGCTTGAAAACCTTTTATTTATGGCTGCAGGTGTGTGCTTAGCTTGCCCCCAGGGCAAGCTGGTAGTGCCAGAGAGTCAATGGGTTCAGAAATTACCTTCATCAATGATGGGTTTCCTTACTCCTTAATTGAACTAACTCTTTTTTTTTTTTTTTTTTTTTTTGAGACAGGGTCTTACTTTGTCTTTAGGCTGGAGTGCAGTGGTGTGATTTCAGCTCACTGCAACCTTTGCCTCCTGGGTTCAAGCGATTCTCCTGCCTCAGCCTCCCGAGTGGCTGGGACTACAGGTGTGTGCCACCATACCTGGCTAATTTTTGTATCTTTAGTAGAGACGGGGTTTCACTATATTGGCCAGGCTAGTCTCAAACTCCTGACCTCATGATCCACCCACCTAGGCTTTCCAAAGCAGTTTTGTTTGGCTCGTTGGACCAAATATTCTGACACTAGCTGCTGGTGCATTATGAGTGAGGTAGAATAAGTGTTAAGTGAGAAATAAAATTTGAGTTAAGAAAAATTTTATAAGTAAACATTCCATTGGTGAAGATTTTTTAATTTTCTAGACTTTTTCTTCCTGTAGCCAAAGCACTGGAATAATGGAGACAACCCCTATCGTCCCCTCATAAATTAATGGTTCTTTCTAGAGACAAAGCATCTGCATCTCTTTTTCGAACCTTTAGTGATTTCTGTGGAAGAAATTTTGTCACAAAGAGCCTGACTCCTGACATATTTTTTATTCAGCTCCAATTGCATAAATTGCAGATGCCATAGACTCATCTTAAATTCTCAATATGCATCTCCATGTTTAGCAGCTGTCTTAGTTTGGGTTTCCCCAGAAGTAGATTCAGAGACAAAAATTCAATTGCAAGTAGTTTGCTTTTGTTTTAAGAGATAATCTTAGCACTGCTGAAGGTGGGAAAGTGAGATTGGTAAGAAAAGAAAGTCAATCAAGGCACTTTATCAAGCAAGAGACTACAGTGGGCAATTTGGGTTCAGTTCTAATGAGGAACTCTGAAAGACATTGCAGACCAACTCTGCAATTAAGAGTTAGTTCAGCTGGGCATGGTGGCTACAAAACAAAACAAAAACCAAAAAAACTAGCTCAATTTGAATAGGAAATCTAAAATCTTGCGAAAAATGTAGCATTTTATCAAATGTACGAAAGTGATGTTGGGACCTACTAGAATTAATACAAAGCTATGGACAAATGAAGACCTGGTAGAATAAGGCAAGACAAAAAGCGAAGGAGAGAAATTGGATGTGGATGATGACCTTGAGAAGAACTTTTTAACACAGTGATCTGATTATCAAAGGATTACATGAAGTTCTTGAGGAAATTTGTGATGTCCACAAATACATTTGCAGTAATTGATGCTCTTTGTGACTATTCCGTGAAAGTTAAGCATGAAGGGATGAATATTGGGTTGTGTTAGGCTGTAGTTTGGGGAAAAATTCTGCCCCAGAAAATTCCATTTACATTTTGAGTGACAAAACTGCATTTAGATATTTTCTCTCACAAAATATTTAATCTCAAAGTCTGGTGTATAACACCCTTTGAGAGAATCATGAAAACATCGACTTAGTTTAGTAGATTGAAACAAGAAGGAGGCTCATCCCTGGCCTTTCACGGAGTTTCCTTTGGTTGAAAATCACTTGAACACTGAACTGAGAACATTTGCTGTGTTTCTTGATTTATAGATATGTTTTTGAGACACATATCTATAACTTCCAAACAGTCCCAGCTGGCTGTAGCTAAGGCCTGTGTAATTGATAGGATGCATCTGGCTTCAAGGCACAGATTGAGTACAAGGGCAGGCTCTTGCTGTCATTGGAGAATGTGGGTGGGATAGGAGCTAAATCCTGGGACCACTTGCTCTATATATGAGTGCCAAGACAATCTAGAGCAGGGAGAGGCAGATAGGCAGGCAGCCTGCTGAGCTCTTCCTGCTGCTGAAAACTTATCCAGCCCTTACAGTGGAAAATTTTATCATTTCTTCTGCCCTGAATGTTTCCCCGAACATGAAGGTAAGACAATAATTTCATTACTTTTGTAAATGAAGCTATCTTTTCAAATGAATGGGGGTAATATAAATGTAATTTAAATGAAGAGGGGTAATACTTAACTGAAAGACATCAAATAAGTAGAAGGCCAGAGGAAAATACAGAAGGAAAAGGCCTGGGGGTGATTTTTAGAAATCCTTATTTAAACATATTTAACAGTTTAGCCAAGGTGAATTCCTTTATCTTATCTTGTGGTTACATTATAGGTCCAGAGGTCTGGGAATCAGGAATTGGAGATAATGTTTATGAAAGTCCTGAGAAAGTCGTAAAGAAATACAATAGTACTATTGTTATTTCTTGGGAAAAACTTTCCTCTGATGTATTTTTTTTTTTTCCACTTGTTTGGATTTGGAATCATGTAATAGGCTCCTGTGATTTATCTAAGAGCTAACAGAAAAGCAATTTTTGCAGACTTGGAACTTAAGAATTTGAAATCCTAGATGAAAGAGTCAGGACTGTGAGAAGATACAAGTAGATGGAATAAAAGTAAAGGTTTACCAAGTATACATGTTGGCCCAATGGAAAAAGGCCAAATGGCAAAAAACAAAACAAAACAACCAAAAAACTATTCAACTAAAGATAAGACCAAAGACAGAAATCACTATCATAGACTAAATCTCTGGAATGCAAAAACAAGTTGAGATTGCTATTAAAATTTTATTATTGTAAATTTTGGTATTTAAACTTTAAAAGCATTGCATTGTGAGACCGTAGGAATAATTTCACAGCTCTGTCAGCAGCTGGATCGCATCCACAGTCACTATGTTGTCCATTTCGGCACCAAATCCAGACTCATTCATCATTAGGGTTAGAGTAGAAGCAAGATAGAGGCTTTATTTAGCCTGCGCACTTTGTGAAATTAAATAATTAAAAATTAAGCACAAATCACAGAATTAGTTTGTTCAAAATAATGACGTGCAGTCATAAAAAAGAATGAAATCATGTCTTTGCAACAACATGGATGCAGCTAGAGGTCATTATTCTAAGAAAATTAATGCAGGAACAGACAACCAAATACCACACGTTCTTACTTTTAAGTGGCAGCTAAATATTGGGTACTCATGGATATAAAGATGGCAACACTAGACAATGGAAACTACTAGACGGGAGGAAGGAGGGAAGAGAGCAAGGTTTGAAAAGCTATTGGATACTATACTCACTACTTGGCTGATGGGATCAATCATACCCCAAACCTAGGTATCACGAAATACACCCATGTAACAAACCTGTACATGTACCCCCGAATCTAAAATAAAAGTTGAAATTATTTGAAAAATTAAAAATTAAGTCATGATGCCAGAACAAGTAACCTTGCAATATTAGAATTATGATGTAATCTAATATCTATTACTCTGCTTTGTATTTTTACTTAAAAATCTGGAACATTTGTTAGCTTAAAAAGAATATGATGTTTAGCCAGTTGCGGTGGCTTACATCTGTAATCCCAGCACTTTGGGAGGCCAATTCGGGCAGATCACCTGTGGTCAGGAGTTCAAGACCAGCCTGGTGAAATCCCATCTCTACTAAAAATACAAGAATTAGCCGGGCGTGGTGGTGGGCGCCTGTAATCCCAGCTACTCAGAAGGCTGAGGCAGGAGAATTGCTTGAAGCAGGGAGGCAGAGTTTGCAGTGAGCCAAGATCATGCCACTGCATTCCAGCCAAGGCAATAGGGTGAGACTCTGTCTCAAAAAAAAGAAAAAAAAAGAAAAAAAGAATATGATGTTCTTCCTAATCTAGCTAAAATGTTTTTCCCTAATATTTGTGTTAACTGTCAATCTGTGAATTTATTTTACAATGAGACATCTTAATAATTGCTTTGTACTTAAAAATATGTTCACAATCATTGATTATTATATTTTACTGTTGTAATAATAAATATACTTTTATCCTTCAGTTGGTTGACAAAATATCAACAAATAAAGCAACTTGATTTTTCTTTTTTTTTTTTTTTTTTTTTTTGAAAGGGAGTTTTGCTCTTGTTACCCAGGCTGGAGTGCAATGGCGCGATCTCGGCTCACCGCAACCTCCGCCTCCTGGGTTCAGGCAATTCTCCTGCCTCAGCCTCCTGAGTAGCTGGGATTACAGGCATGCACCACCATGCCCAGCTAATTTTTGTATTTTTAGTAGAGACGGGGTTTCACCATGTTGACCAGGGTGGTCTCGATCTCTTGACCTAGTGATCCAACCGCCTCAGCCTCCCAAAGTGCTGGGATTACAGGCGTGAGCCACCGCGTCCGGCGCAACTGATTTTTCAAAAAAAATTACATATAGGGGCTTTCTAGCAAAAATTGGAAAGTCTGCTAGACAAGTTCTAAGAGAGCTATAACACTAATTATTTCACTGCGAGCTGCATGCAGAGTTCTTACCTGTATTTGAAAGTGGATATTCATATTTTTACAGTAAACTTGAAGGACATGCTTTGGTGATATGTGTCAAAGAAGGGATACTTGTGCAAGCCCTGGGCTATCAAGACACTAGAAATGGTTTCTATGTCAGACCTTTTAAGTGGGAGCAGTATTTTGGCTCCACAACCCCCATGTGAACTAAACTCAGAGAGACAGTCACAAGATTCCCTTTGGTTCTCTCTGTGTTCTTGGATAGGAGATAACTTGGGTCTGAGGTGTTTGAGAAGGATGTCAGGGCCAAGGGACTTCCCTCTGAGCTGGCTGTGGGTCAGCCATTTGCTCTGTCTGTCGAGCACTGAGCTGAGCCTGAGGTCTTTGAATCTAGAGAGTGGTCATCACAGTGTGCAAGCACAGTGATGGTCAAGCACAGTAATGTCTCAAATCAGAATTGTAGCTGGGACATATTAGAAGAAGGAGGTAGAGCTGATGCTCATTCTGTGATGAAACAGAGAAGATAATTCAGGGGAATGTAGTTCCAGCTTAGCTACATTGACACAGAACAAAAATACCATGCACCTTTTTTTTTTTTTTTTTTTTTTTTTTGAGATGAAGTTTCACTCTGTCGCCCAGGCTGGAGTGCAGTGGCACAGTCTTGGCTCACTGCAACCTTCGCTTCCTGGGTTCAAGCAATTCTCCTGCCTCAGCCTCCCGAGTAGCTGGAACTACAAGTGTGCACCACCATGCCCGGCTAATTTTTGTATTTTTTTAGTAGATACAGGGTTTCACCATATTGGCCAGGCTGGCCTTGAACTCCTGACCTCATGATCCGTCCACCTCAGCCTCCCAAAGTGCTGGGATTACAGGCGTGAGCCACCATGCCCAGCTCCATACACCTTTTCAACCAAGCAATTCTTTTATAGAGTCAGTTCAGATGTATGTCTATCTCTGTCATTCATGTGATTTATTTGTGTTTGTTCTATCTCTCTTGTTCATTTATAAGATGTTCTTTCCAAAGGTAAGGAAGAGTAACTGCTTCCTTTTCAGAGATCAGGCTAGCAAAGTTTCAAGGAATGCTTTTGGTTAGTAGATCCACTTTGTGTAACTCATAAACAGAACTGGTCTTGTAATAAGCAGACACTGATGGATTATAATAAGGCGTATGTATATGAAGAAGGTGATGACAAAAGCATCCATGTTGATAAAAAGTATATTTCCTAAAATTTCATTGAAATTCTTTATTTTAAAAAATACTTTTAAATTTGAGACAAGATCTTGCAACAGCCCTGGCTGGAGTGTAGTGGTGCAATTATGGCTCACTGCAGCCTCCACATCCTGGGCTCCCACCTTAGCTTTCCAAGTAGCTGGGACTACAGATGCCCACCATCAGGCCTGGCTAATTTTCGTAGAGACGAGGCCTCACTATGTTGCTCAGGCTGGCCTCAAACACCTGGGCTCAAGTGATCCTCCCACCCCGTCCTCCTAAAATGCCAGGATTACAGGCATGAACCACCACACCTGGGTGAAATTACTTTAAAACACATGTGACAGAATGTTAGAGATCATTATTTTCAGTATCCCTATTTTGGCTGAGAATTAATTCAAGAACAAGTACTCAAGATTTTTTTGAAATTTTATTTTTTTGAAATTTTATTCATTTAGTTATTTTATTTCTATACATTTAAGGAGTACAAATGCAATTTTGTTACATGGATATACTGGGTAGTGTTGAAGTCTGGGCTTTCAGTGTATCTATCTCCCAAATAATGTACATTGTGCCCATTAAGTAATTTCTCATCACTCTTTCTCTTTCTATCCCCAACTCTTCTGAGTCTCCAATGTCTATTATTCCACACGTTTTGTCCATGTGTACACATTATTTAGCTCCTACTTGTAAGTGAGAATATGTGGCACTTGAATAGCCTCCAGTTCCATCCATGCTGCTGCAAAAGACATGGTTTCATTCTTTTTAAAAAACTGAATAGGCCGGGCGCGGTGGCTCAAGCCTGTAATCCCAGCACTTTGGGAGGCCAAGGCGGGTGGATCACGAGGTCAAGAGATCAAGACCATCCTGGTCAACATGGTGAAACCCCGCCTCTACTAAAAATACAAAAAATTAGCTGGGCATGGTGGCACGTGCCTGTAATCCCAGCTACTCAGGAGGCTGAGGCAGGAGAATTGCCTGAACCCAGGAGGCGGAGGTTGCGGTGAGCCGAGATCGCGCCATTGCACTCCAGCCTGGGTAACAAGAGTGAAACTCCGTCAAAAAAAAACAAAAAAAAAACTGAATAGCATTTCATTGTGTATATACCACATATTCTCCAATCATCTGTTGATGGACACTTAGGTTGCTTCCACATCTTTGCTATTGTGAATAGAGCTGAGATAAACATACAAATGCAGGTATCTTTTTGATATAATGATTTCTTTTCTTTTGGATAGATACCCAGTAGTGGGATTGCCGGATCTGATGGTAGTTGAATTTTTAGTTCTTTGAAACATCTCCACACTGCTTTTTATGAAGGTTGTACTAATTTACATTCCCTATTCCCCCTTACCTCTGCATTCCTACCAACATCTGTTATTTTATGAGGTTTTTAAAGAGAGATGGAGTCTTGCTC